GTGGATTCCAATTCGCATACAAGCTGCACTAAGGTCACAAGGAATAAAAGGTCCTTCTTATAGTTTTCTATATGGAAATGTAAAAGATACTATCAGAATGAGAGATGAATCCATCAATAGTTCCATGGAATTATCACACCAAATGTTCTCCAGAATTCAGCCTCACTATTATCTATGGAGAAAGCTACATGGTATCTTGCGATCCTTTGACTAAAATTCTCAAATATTAAAATATTTCCAACTAAATATTCTTGATCTTCAATTTGGTTGCAGGGAAGAACTATATCAGTTGGCTTGGTCCTCGGCCTCGATTGGTAGTCACTGAACCTCAGCTGGTTAAAGAGATACTGAACAATAAAGATGAAATGTATCCAAAACCGGAGTTCGAATCGTATATGATAAAACTATTTGGGGATGGACTTGTAACTACTAAAGGTGAAAAATGGATTAAGCAACGAAGACTAGCCAATCATACATTTCATGGAGAGAAGTTAAAAGTAATTTCTTCTTCTAGTTTTGTTATTATTGCCGGATAAATACCCAGAATGTGTCTTGTATTTTAACAATTTAAATTACAGAATATGATTCCAGTGATGATCACACGCGTAGAGATGATGCTTGGAAGGTGGAGACAATATGAAAACAAGGAGATTGATGTATGGAAAGAATTCAAACAATTAACATCTGATGTAATTTCCAGGACATCATTTGGAAGCAGCTATTCGGAAGCACAGGATATTTTTGACATGATAATGGAGCTTCTTATTCTTGCTTCCCAGAATAGTTTTGAAGTCAGAATTCCTTTGATAAAGTAAGATTCTTTTTCTTCTCCTTTCGATAATTATTTTATATGCAGAAATGTTTGAGTTAAAGATGTCTGCTTCCACTATTCTCCTTTCGATAATTATTTTATATGCAGAAATGTTTGAGTTAAAGATGTCTGCTTCCACTATTGCAGGAAATTTATAAAAATAAGGATGATATCGAATCAGATAAACTTGAACAAAGGTTACGAGAATCCATCTTAAAGATGATAAGGAAGAGGGAGGAGGAAGCAAAGATGGCTGAACCCGATAGCCATGGAAGTGATTTTCTTGGAGTGCTCCTTAAGGCAAACCAGGATCCAAATAAGAGCAAGAAAATATCCATAAACGACATAGTTGATGAGTACAAAACATTTTATATTGCTGGACAAGAAACAACTAGTGCTGCACTTAATTGGACTATTTTTCTTTTAGCGATTCACATAGATTGGCAAGAAAAAGTAAGAAAGGAAGTTCTTGAATTATTTGGCCGAAGAAATCCAACATTAAATGAAATCAACAAATTGAAGATTGTAAGCTCAATATATCCATCTAATTCATTGGTAAAATATATACTTATTTCATTCCAATTTAATTCTCATTATCGTTTATTATTTTTCTATCTTTTCTTTCAGATGAATATGGTTGTTAATGAAACTCTAAGGTTATATGCTCCTGTTACTAATCTCTTAAGAGAAGTCCCAAAGGGAAGCAAATTAGGAAAGCTACTTGCTCCAGCAAGGATGGACATTCTGATTCCACCACTAGCAGTGCACCATGATCCTGATATATGGGGAGAAGATGTTCATCTCTTCAAACCAGAAAGATTTGCAGAAGGTGTGGCTAAAGCCACAAAGGGTAACATAGGTGCATTTGTTCCATTTAGTTTGGGACCAAGAAATTGTGTGGGCATGAACTTTGCCATGACAGAAACAAAAATTGCACTCTCAATGATCCTTCAGCGTTATAGCTTTACTTTGTCACCTAATTATGTTCATTCTCCTGTAGTTCTTATTGGAGTGATCCCAAAAAAGGGACTTCAAATTACTCTTCAGGCATTGGAAGACCAGAGTAGCTGATGCTTTCCTCGAAATTGGAAGATGGAAGCTTTGATTTGGCATGGAATAATTCATTTAAAACTCTTAAACATGTTCATCAATTATTGTTTGGAGGAGAGCTATTGTTATGATATTATTGTTTCTCGTAGCTATATAATAGTATTGTTATGGTGGCTTGGGTTAGACGACAAGCTAACTTGCCTAGTCATTCTTTTGTTAGAGAGGCTGTTTCTTCAGCTCATTTTGAGATTTGGAATGTAATTCCTCATTGAATTCAAACTAGTTTGGTTTCTAATTTAATTTAATAAAGCTTCTCCTCTGAAAAAAATAGTACTGTTATGGTAAATTACATTCTCATCCCTAAATTGCTCATAATTGCAAACAATACTATAATCCAATCTTATATTTTATTTATTTGGAGTTGAATTTTGTAAGGAAAAGTTACGTTCATCCTTTCTTTTTTTGAAATATATTATTTTATCCTTAATATTTGGTTTCGTCCAACCAGTAGGTCTTTCTCTTCATTTTATATACTTTTTCAGTTGAATTTCTTATGAAAAGACAAAAATGCCCTATTACCTCTTCCTTCCCTCTCTACTAACTCTCTCTTTCTCTCACTCCAATTACTAATTAAAATGCTAACCTTATTCTCAATATATAAACCTTATTCTCAATATATATATATATATATATATATATATATATATATATAGCAAAAGATATTTTTATATATAGCAAAAGATATTTTTATTTTATTTATATCTCAAATATTTAGTCCCTATAGCCTCCAATAATACAATTCCTTTAATTAAATAAGATAAAAAATTAAAAGAGATAAAAGAAAAAGAAGTATGATGAAGTCTACGATGAGTGACATGGATCATTCGGAACTACAAAAGAAAAGCAAGCAACTGGTACCACCGAAGCAGCCACCAACTTTAAATTAACAAGTTAGACACTAATGTGAAAACTAAACGTGAAAATCTGAAAATTCAAATAGAAATCTAGAACTTAAATATGACAATCCAGAAATTAAAATTTGAAAATTATATATGGAAATTAAATCATAAAATCTTAAAAATAAGTATGAAAATCTAGAAATTCACCTTCTAAAATTTGAAAATTATGAGCTGAACATTAAGGAAAGAATAAAAAAATTGCTAAAGTTAAAATTATCATCATCATTGACATGATACGAAAATTTGCTATTAGAGAAGGTAAAAAAAAAAAAAAAAAAAAAAAAATGACAGAGAGATCTTCTACGGAACAACATTTTTATTTGAATTTAAGCAAAAAAAATCTTCACCCAATCAAGTTAAACTTTTCTGGATAGGGTTTTATTAACCCGTTATGATTATTATCAAGAAAAAAAAAAAAAAAAAATCGACAGAGAGATCTTCTACGGAACAACATTTTTATTTGAATTAAAGCAAAAAAAATCTTCACCCAATCAAGTTAAACTTTTCTGATAGGTTTTTATTAACCCGTTATGATATTATCCAAGTCGAACAACTCGACTCAATTTTAATTCAATCTTACGGGTTTAAAAATATAATAAATTATAAAAATTATGTTTATAATTATCTGGTCGGATTGAATCGATGTACCCCAAATAATAATAAATATGTATAATATTTATATAATCAATTATATGTGTAATTATAAATTGATTTAGCTCAATTTATAATTTGGGTGTTGCTTAATATTTATATGCTTAATTGACCTTCCCATCATTTATCATCTGTGGACTCTTATTTAGCAAAATCGACAAAAACCAACAGATAAAATAATAAGAATGGATACAAAAAGCACAGTATTTAAATCATTTTTTTCTAACAATAAAAACTCACTATTGATTTCTAGTCTTTTACTCTACTGTTCATGACGAGGAAGAAGAGAACAAAACTGAAATGTTGTTAATCTTTATATTCTTGGTTTTATTATATTATTTGTCTATATTATAATTCCGAAACACGTTCTTTTTTCTTTTGCTAGAGACATCTATTATAGCACTAGCAAATTTAATGAAATTGTTTTGTTACAAATTTCCTTATTGGTTTCCTTATTTGTATATTGTGATTGGAATATATTATAGTTTGTGAAACTTATCGTATAATTAATATACTATGTATATGTAATTTTATTAGTTACTTTTATTAAATAGTTGTATTTTATTTCCTTTCAAAAAGTTGTATTTTATTTAAAATTGTTTGTATTAGTTATAGTTTTATAATTTGGGGTTTTATGACCTTATGACAACACTATTAAGAGAAAGGTAAATCAAATTTAAATACGATAACAGTTTTCATTTTTATCATAAGAAGTTTATAAAAGGTAATAGACTGTGTTCGGCAACAGTTTTTTAATTAGTTTTTAGTCTTTTAATTTGATAATATATCATTTGAACTAGTTATAGTTAATTTTGCCAAACAAACTTATAAAATGGATGTATCTACTTATAACTTCTTTTTTCCTTAACAGTCCATATATATACATGAATATGAATACGGTGGGTTGAGAGATTGCTGCACATTGCATGGATATTGAGTTGCTATATGCTTATGGAGGTCATAAGCCACAGTCTCCTTGTTTGCTAAATGAATTCAATAAAATTTTGTGAAATTTGAAATTTTATGTTTTCAGGTTTGGCAGGAGTGGAGATGTTTATTTCATTCCTGAGAATTGAATTTTATGATATTTTCAATATAATTAAACTAAATTCTATCGTTTATAATTGGATTTTATATGTCAAATTCATTTATACAAACAAAAGCAAAAGTCAATTTGGATTACTTCTATGTATAATAGTTATTGTAGCAATCAGTGAATAAAGAATGTAGGAAAATCTGTTTCAGCTTCGACAATGAAGGAAATTATGTCTGCTAATGAGGCAAATAACGTCATACAGTAAAACCTATTATATATCATTTGTGAGCAGCATTGAATTTTTTAGGAAGAAATTGTCAATTTCTGATGAAATAATTAAAAAAATAAAAAGAAAAAGGATGTCGTTGTGTCTACGATGGGACCAATGCCTGAAACCTAGTTCTTGTCTTCAACTACAACCCAAAAATTCTGTGATCACTTATAATACAGAGAGAAATTACTTGCTTTTCGGTTGTGGGTCTTATGGTTGTAATAAAACACTGTTCTATTAACATTTGGAAGTATGATAATTTTTGTTTCAGGTTGTGTGTTTGTTTGCTTCGTCACAATAGCTCTGATCAAGTTCTTTTATGAAGTATGGTGGAATCCAACTCGCATACAGTCTGCAGTAAGGTCACAAGGAATAAAAGGTCCTTCTTACAGATTTCTATATGGAAATGCAAAAGATATCATCAGAATGAGAGATGAATCCTTCAACAGTTCCATGGAATTATCGCATCAAGTGTTCCCTAGACTTCAGCCTCACTATTATCTATGGAGCAAGCTACATGGTAATATTGATCCTTTAATTAGAATTCTAAAATATTGAAATATTTCAAACTAAAACTGCTTCAATTTGGTTGCAGGGAAGAATTTTATCAATTGGCTTGGTCCTCGGCCTCAATTGATAGTCACCGAACCTCAGCTGGTTAAAGAGATACTGAACAATAAAGACGAATTGTATCCAAAACCGGAGTTCTTCACGTATATGACAAAACTGTTTGGGGATGGACTTGTAACTACAAAAGGTGAAAAATGGGTTAGGCAGCGAAAACTAGCCAATCATGCATTTCATGGAGAGAAGTTGAAAGTAATTTCTTGTTAATATTATTATTGTTGTTATTGTTGCCGGATAAGTATCCAGAATACATATATATATATATATGTCTGTATTTTAACAATTTAAAGTATAGGATATGATTCCAGCGATGATCACAAGTGTAGAGATGATGCTTAGAAGATGGAGACAGAATGAACACAAGGAGATTGATGTTTGGAAAGAATTCAAGCTATTAACATCTGAAGTAATTTCCAGGACAGCCTTTGGAAGCAGCTATTTGGAAGGGCAGCATATTTTTGATATGCTGATGGAGCTGGTTCTGCTTCTTTCTAAAAATGGCTATGAAGTCAGAATTCCCATAATAAAGTAAGTCTCTTTTGTTCTTCTCCACAGATTATTTTGGTTATATGCACAAATGATTGAGTGAAAAGTAACTGATTGCAGAAAATTTATAAAAACAAAGGATGATATCAAATCAGAAAAACTTGAACAAGGGGTCAGAGACTCCATTTTAAAGATGATAAAGAAGAGGGAGGAGGAAGCAAGTGAAATGGACAGCTATGGAAGTGATTATCTTGGAGTACTCATTAAGGCAAACCAGGATCCAGATAAGACCAAGAAAATATCCATAGATGACTTGGTTGATGAGTGCAAAACATTTTATATTGCTGGGCAAGAAACAACTCTTTCTTTGCTTACATGGACTATTTTTCTTCTAGCAATTCACACAGATTGGCAAGAAAAAGCAAGGAAGGAAGTTCTTGAATTATTTGGCCCAAGAAGTCCAACATCAGATGAAATCAACAAATTGAAGATTGTAAGCACACTATATCATCTAATTTCTAATGAACTGCTTATAACTATGCATCATTTCATTTCGATATATATCTTTTGTCAGATGAATATGATTCTCAATGAAACTCTAAGGTTATATAGTCCTATTACTACCCTCATAAGGGAAGTCCAGAAGGGAAGCAAATTAGGGAAGCTACTTGCTCCAGCAAGAATGGATCTCCTGATTCCAACACTAGGGGTACACCATGACCCTGATATATGGGGAGAGGATGTTCATCTCTTCAAACCAGAAAGATTTGCAGAAGGGGTGGCTAAAGCTACAAAGAATAACATTGCTGCATTTGTTCCATTTGGTTTGGGACCAAGAAGTTGTGTGGGCATGAACTTTGCCATGGCAGAAACAAAAATTGCACTCTCAATGATCCTTCGGCGTTACAGGTTTACCTTGTCACCTACGTATATTCACTCACCTATTGTTGTTATTGGAGTGAGCCCAAAAAAGGGGCTTCAAATCATTCTTCAAGCATTGGAAGATCAGAATTGCTGATTGCCTTGGAGTTGGAGGATGGGTGCTTTGATTTGGTGTGCAATAATTATGATATAAAGCTGTAAAACATGTTGATCAATTAATGTAGTGACATTAGTGTTATTTGCAACTAAATAATAATGTTGTTCTAAATTACATTCTCATCCTCATTTGCAAGTAATATTACAATCCCATCTTAAATTTTAATTTATTTCCATTTGAATTTTGTAAATCCCTAATTTACCCTTATAATAAACCATGTGAAGCACTATTATTTGCTTCAGAAGCTCAAAAGGTATAAAAATAAAAATATGTAAAATTCATACGTCAAAGAATATTAAATTATTGCACAAAATGTGTCATATATTTTATTTTTCTCACAATACGTGCGTATCTTATTAATAACTAGGTAAATACCTGCGCAATATTTTGATGCACATTGTGTTTTGTTTCGAAAAATTTTTAATTTGAAAATTTATGCTAAATAAATAATAAAAGTAATTAGAAATTTTTTTAGATAAGATAAATTTAAGCTATGACAGTATAAATTTTTAAGTCTTCAAGTTTACCTTACACTTACATATTAAAAATATCCTATCATGTTCCAGGATCATGTAAGATAAACTTAAAGACGATATTTTTCAAGTACACTTACATATCAAATATACTAAAATTTCAAAATGAGATGTGATTAAATTTTAATAATTACAAGCAAACATACTCGCGCTTCACAGGGTGACCTTTTATTGCTATTTTTTTTACATATCAATAAGTTTCATACAAAGCATATATAACTACATAGAAATTACATACACAATTACATACATGCAAACATATATTTAAAGAAAATCATATATTTTTTAAACTCAGCATATGTTGATGATTTAAGATTTAACTCTTTTCTAGAACAGGCCAAAGATTAATGCTTGAAAAATTTTTAAAGAACACTTTTTAAAAAAAATAAACTTTTATTAAAACTACTGCCTACCATCCGAACCCAATACAAACTTCAAGTCTCTCATCTACCTCTCCCTCATTATCATTTGTTTTCAAGAGCACTGGTCTTGCTGCATCATTGTAATCTTGCATTACCAACCAGCTTGATGACCTACCTGAAGATTACAAAAAGTGCAATTGCAATGAAGATTACTGATCAAAATTCCAACAGCAAGCATTATCCTGTAGCTCGCATGAAATTAAAGATTCTAAAATGAATCCTTCAAAACAAAATGGAAAGCAATTATTGAGAAGCAATTCATGTTGGATTTTTGGGGAAGGGAAAAATGGAAATGCACGAGATGATTAACAATGTTTAGCACGTCATTGAATTAATAAAATATATGCCTATTTACAGGCTTACAAGTGAATCAAATAAGACCTAAAAATACTCCTAAAAATCATTAATCCTAATAACAAAAACATCAAATTCTATGCAGAAATCTGGTCTAACTAACATTGAAATCTCAAAATATTTTTAATAATATTATTTTGAATTAATCCTAACAATTCATAAAGTCTAAAATCAATTCACCTGAAAAGCAATAAACAACTGTCTTAAAAGTAAAATCAAAAAGTAAAATATATCTCCTAGATCAGGCATTAGACATTATTCTCAATTCAATCACTAACCATGGTCGTAAGAGTACCCTTGAGAAAAAAACTCAATCAAAGTTTAATAATAACCAATTAAAATCAATGCTTATGAAGAATCTCAAAATCAATGCTTATGAAGAATCTCAAAATAAGTAATCAAAGATTCTATTTAATTCGAATCATAACTCAGAATCAATGAATATGCACCTTCTCAAGGACATGAAGCAAAGAAAAATTAAATATAACCAATTAAAAAAAAAAAAAAAACAAAACATGCACTCATAGTTTAAATTCTCATGATATGAAGTTATTGGGCAAAACACTACAAAAAAAAAAACGCTAATTTGCGACCGACAAATATCAGTCGCAAGTTTGCGACAAATTTACTACAGAAGAACAAACAGTCGCAAATTTTAGCAGGTACTCCTCCTGGTGATCCGACATCGGGAGATCCGACATCGGTTCCTGCAGATGAGCAGCAGCATAGATTTGATTTTGGACCTTTTTAGTTTTTCATTTGTATTTTGATATTTTAATTTGTTCAGTACAATAAAAATGGAGATCGACATCGGTTCCTGCCAGATGAGCAGCAGCCATAGAGTTGATTTTGAACCTTTTTATTTTTCATTTGTATTGGTGATATTTTAATTGTTCAGTACAATAAAAATTACATTTTACATTGTTCTTGATGCGTGGTGTATATATATGTAATGTGACAATTTTCACAGGTGTGGAAAAAATTTTTTCATAAAATATTTTTAATTTTTTATTGATATTTTAATTTGTTCAGTACAATAAAAATTACATTTTTACATTGTTCTTGAATTGCGTGTGTGATATATATGTATATGTGACAATTTTCACAGGTGTGGAAAAATTTTGGTTTCATAATAATATTTAATTTTTTTATTTTTTTTCAATTTTGCGACCGATTTGATACCGAAAATTACAATTTTAAATTAACATTTTGCGACCGATTAAAAAAAATTGCGACCGTTTTTTCTGCGACCAAATTTGCAACTGAATTTCCAATTAAACCATAACCAGAAATTGCGACCGCTTATTCAAATTTGCAACCAATTTTATCGGTCGCTAATTTGCGACCGATGGAATAATCGGTCGCAAATGTTTTTTGCAACCAGGTCTTTTGCAACCGATACATGTCGGTCGCAGATCAGTCGCTAAGTAAAATTTGCGACCGATATGAGCCATTTTGCGACCGATTAGTCGGTCGCAAAATAGCGTTTTTTTTGTAGTGAAATAATTTTTTGCCTTTTATGGGCTGCTGCTTCGTGGAGATTTAAAAGGAAGTTTCTTCAGCTGATATTCAACATAAATATATATACATCAGTCTTTCTAGTTTTCAAAGAAGAGGACATCTTATGTTCCAATTTGTATTTTCTTCTTTCTTTAGCGACAAAATCTTTTTTTGCTTTCTTCAAATGACAATGTATTTAAAGCAAAGACCATCAACTGATTAATAAATAAAGAAATTTGTAAAAAAAGAAAAATACAAAAGCTGAAAGAAGGGAGCACCAACTCAATTTTTAAAAATATTTTTTGCTTCAACATTATATAGTTATATAGATATAGAAAATAAAGAGAGCATTTCAGTTCAGATTGATGCAAATGCCCTTTAAAAATGGACAAATTACAATGAAACAATTTACAGGAGGATTTATGGTTAATGAAAATGACTTACTCTTTGAGTTGAGATATAACACTTTTCCTTTGCACCCGTAAATCCAAAAGATCATAGCTCTATAAATACATTCGTAATAATTTGTTTACTCAATTTTAAAAGCAATAAAGAAAATTATCTATTTTTAATATCTCAAGCTGCATATATGAAAATACTAATACTGTACAAATAAAATTTCTAATTAAAATATCGTTAAAAGGTTTCAGATTATAATCACCTTTTTTGTCTTTTAGTAGGCAACACTTTTAATTAATAATTTTTTAGAAAACTTCTTTGAAGACAATATTTTTTTAATTTTTCATTAGGTTGATCTTCTTCTTCCACTGACAAAATCTTAATGTCCTGTCTTAAAGTTACTCTTGATAGAGCAACATATAATTGTCCATGTGAAAAGGCATGTTGTTTCATGTATAGCCCAACTGTTTTGAGTAACTGGCCTTGACTCTTGTTAATTGTCATTGTGAAGCTCACTGCAATTGGTAATTGCCTCCTCTTAAGTATGAATGGCCACTTCATATCTGCATTTGAATTATGGTTTTAGGTATCACAACATTGTCTCCAATATTTGATCCGGTAATAATCTTTGCTTGTATGCACCATTTTCCAAGTTGAATAACAATTAGTCTCGTGCCATTGCAAAGACCATCAGATTGATTTAAATTGCGCCGCAACAATTAATCTCATCCACATATAGATATAGATGAGATTAAATCACACTGGAAAAAAGAGAACATTAATCTAAAAAGACTTTTTTTTTTATCAACCGTAAAGTTTAAAAAATATGTATAAGAAATTAATGAGAAAAAAAAGTTAGCAATCATATCCAATTAATATCGTTAAACAAAAATCATACAGAATCACAATTTGACACTTTGACCAGTGAAGCGGATGGTTCTAATTAAAGAAGCTTTTATGTCCACCTTCTTGTTAAAAGAAAGTTTCTTCATCTTTGATTTTACTTTTCTTTTCATTTGTAGTTTTAGTCCTCTCTTATTTATAATAGCAATTATAAGATTATATTAATTTTAATTCATATAATTAGACAAAACTATATGGTTTTTAATTTCCCAAAAAAAAAAAAAAGAAAAATTCATGTGAAGCAGTTCCTGCTTTTTAATTTATTTGTGAAACCAAAGAGGAAAATAATTAATAAGCAATATTATGAGAATCCGCATAAATATCTAGTACAGTAGCTGCAGGCTTCGAAGTTGTATCAAAATTTCCTGTCAGGAATGACGACTGAGACAACGATGATACTGTAATAAGACTCCTCATGAAAAGGAAAGCTAGAACCGGTTAATCACTAAATCATGAAACCATTGTCCATGTCAATATGTTATTAACAATGACGACAAACAGACACTTGTCATAAACTTTTAATGAGACATACATGCACAAACACACAACTCAACAATTAATTAACGTTAATGCACTTTTAAATGGGTCCTAGAAAATTTTAAGCTTCTATACATCTGTATATATTCTAGCTTTCATCTTATACAGTTGAGTGCGGTCAGATAAAGCCAAGGCATGGATATTAGTTTCCATCGTCGATTACTACCTCAATATTCCCAAGTTATTCACAGTCATTTTATATATAGTGGGTGTTTTTGCAGTTGATAATTCATATATGGTTTCTGGAATTATGGGAACTATGCAGGTAATTTTTTATCTGTTAAGCTGTACTGTGTGTTTGATCTTTCTGTCGTTTATGATAAAGTTCTTTAACAAGCTATGGTGGACACCAATTCGCATACAATCCATGATGAGGTCTCAAGGAATACAAGGCCCTTCTTATCAATTCTTCCATGGAAACTCCAAAGAGGTCTTTAATATGACAAAAAATTCCTCAATTAATCCTCTGGAATTATCAGATTCACAGGATTTGCTCTATACTGTCTTGCCACACCTTTATTCATGGATGAAGCTTTATGGTAATTATTTGAAGTTTCCTTTCTCCTTCACATTGAATCCAAACCACCATTCTCTTTATGCATTCTTTTGTATAAACCGCCTTGCTCTGTACTGTCTTGTTTGTAAATGAGTTCTGTAATTTACATTCATCTGTAACAAACAAGGGTAAATCTAACTTCTGCAAATGAATGTAGGGACGAATTTTTTGTATTGGCAAGGTCCTCGAGCTCACTTGGTGATTACAGAGCCTGAAATGATTAAAGAGATATTAAATAATAGAGATGGAGCATTCCCCAAAATAGAACCTGACGATTATGTAAAGAAACTACTCGGGGATGGAACTGTTACAGCCAGAACACCGGAAAAGTGGTTTAGGCTTCGTAAACTCTCCAATCATGCTTTCCATGCAGAGTGCTTGAAAGTATATATATTTATTTTATTTAATTTAAATTTTCTTTTCTTTTCGTTTCTTTTCTCTTGTCCGACAAGAACCGATCTTATTTATATTTTGTTGTGAAGGGAATGATTCCAGCAATGATTGCAAGTGTGGAAATGATGCTTCAAAGATGGAAAATTTGTGGCTGTATGGAGATTGATGCATTCCAAGAATTTAAGGTTTTAACATCAGAAATAATTTCCAGGACGGCTTTTGGAAGCAGCTACTTGGAAGGGCAGAACATTTTTGATAAGCTAATGCGGTTAGGTGTCATCATTAGCAGAAACAAATACAAAGTTAAAGTTCCTGGAATTAGGTACACCGTCTGTCTGGTTTTTGGTTCAGTGTTACATATAGTTACTGAATTTAATTGGGTCGATTTTTCCATTTTCTGTTGTTGCAGCAATCTTGTTAAAACAGAAGATGATATTGAATCAGAGAAGCTAGAACAAGGGATACAAAATTCAATCATAAGTATGATAAAGAAAAGAGAGCAAGCAACAATTACAGAGAAATCAGATAGTTTTGGAAATGATTTTCTTGGATTACTCTTGAAGGCACATCATGATGATAGAGATGCTCATAAGACAAAAAGATTATCAGTTCAAGACATCATTGATGAATGCAAAACCTTTTATGTTGCTGGACATGAAACAACTACAAGCTCTCTCTCCTGGATTGTTTTTCTTCTAGCTGTGCACACAGATTGGCAAGATAAAGCCAGGAATGAGATCCTTCAATTATTTGACCTCCAAAATCCAAGCCCAGATGGCCTCTCCAGAATGAAGATTGTAAGTTTACAGATATTAAATTAAACATTATATCAGAAATTTTGGTACAAGGAACTTATATTGCTTGCATGCATAAGAAATAGTTTTTAATTTCTTCTTTTATCACTATAGGTGAGCATGATTATCAATGAAGCTCTCCGGCTATATCCCCCAGTTGCTGCATTTCCCAGGGAGGTCCAAAGGCAAGTAAGATTAGGGAAGTTAAATCTTCCTGCAAATATAGAAGTTGAAATCCCAATTATTGCAATCCACCACAATCCTCAAATTTGGGGAGAAGATGTTCATCTTTTCAAGCCGGAGAGATTTGCAGAAGGGTTGGCCAAAGCTACAAACAACAATGTCAATGCCTATCTTCCATTTGCTTTGGGACCAAGAAGTTGTGTAGGATCGAACTTTTCAATTATGGAGACTAAGATTGCACTCTCCATGATTTTGCAACGTTACCATTTTACCTTATCACCAACTTATGCCCATTCACCAGTTAACCTTCTCACTGTGTGTCCAAAATATGGATTGCAAATCTTGCTTTCATCCACTGTAATTGGTGGGATGAACATTTAATTTTCATGTATGTAACTAAAGAAATCCTTGAAGCCTTGTATGGCAGAAGATTTGTTGTGTCTAGTGAAAATTATTCTATATGAATTTTGAATAAGGTCTGATGATATTTTTATATGTTCTCATTTTTGGAAAAGTGTAACCAAATTGTCAATGCTAGTGCTTAATAAAGACATTCAAGCAGTGGTTGGACGACGGAGCGTTCAGCGTGAAAAAGACCTGACAGCTAATAAAACGACATCGTTTCTTTAGAATGACTCGTAGTTTGGCTGTCCATCTTCCGTCAGAAACGAAAAGTCTCTGGTTTGACTGGGAAGACATTCCTCTGTCGTTTCGGCATAAGGTTGAACTTGGCGAAGCCTGAGCATTGCGCGCCTGTTACTTTATTATATGTATCAAAATAAATGTTTATAAAAAAATAAAGTTAATTAATAAAAATATATAAATATAAAATTAAATACTTTTATATATATATATATATATATATATATATTATAATATTATATTATAAAAAAAAATTAATTCCTGAAGCAAAAAAATCTGATCATGGTCACTCTCTGTCTCAGTATTCCTTTTTTTCTTTTTTTTATAAATTTTCTTAGTTTTAATTACTTTTTATCATTTATTTTTTTCCTTTTTTCCACCCAAATATATATATAAAAAAATAATCCTGAAGCAAAAAAAATCTGACATGTCACTCTCCTGTCTCAGTATTCCTTTTTTTCTTTTTTTATAAATTTTCTTAGTTTTAATACTTTTTATCATTTATTTTTTCCTTTTTCCACAAATTTGTAAATTTTTATCATCATGGCAATTAAGATAATTATTAGAGATAATTATTATTTTAAAAAATAATTTTCAATCCTAATTGATCGGTAGTCTAACGTCCTTTATAAAATTTAAAATTCTAAAATTTATCTCTTCTCCTTTCTCTTTCTCTATTTATTCTCTCCTTCCTAAACGAAGAATTAAGTTTCAACATTCTATTTCTCAAGCGGAATCTCCAACAGGAATCATGAACTAAGGTATTTTTTTTTCTACCATATTTTTGTGATTGTTTGATGTTTTAACGGTTAACTAATAATTGAACACAATGATTTTCTTTATAGTTTTTTCTTTTATTTTGATATATATATATGATATGATTCATTTCTTTTTAACAAAAAATTAATCTATCATTCTATTTTCTCATCTACAGCTCTAAAGCTGCACAAGCTAGCGTCCACTGTCGATATTGAAAATCTTGCAAATCAAGAAATGATCAATCTAATTTTCAAGAATGATCACTAATTGTTAGCTGCAAGCCTACAATCTCTACCTTAGTTTATTCTCTTAATGCAGTAATGGAGTTAGGAAATGTATATATTTGCGAATAAAAATTTTATGAATAAAAAAATTTTCTATTCATTGTTATATTTTTTTACATTTTAATTCATGTAGTTTTTTTCAGTTTTTATATTTTAATTCATGTAGTTATCATCATAGTAATATTAATGTATATTTTTTTTTTTGGAGCTTTTATTATGAATTTCTTTGTTTATAATTGCTTTCTTTCTCTTCTTCTTTTCTTTTTCCCATTTCAGAGATCTATGCTTTGGATGCCTTGATGATGCACAAAAGAAGGTATATAGAATCTGTATTTTTCTTCAAACCCAGTTAATTAAGTAGTCATATTTCTTCTATTTTCTTTTTCTTTTTCTGTTCCTATTTCTTTTTATTCTCAAATATATCATTATATTGTTGTTTTCTTGAACTATTTGGATTGTTAATGGTAAAAGAAAAAATGTTTTTTAGGCTTAATGCTTTTTGTTTTTATCATTCTTCATTATTTTTAATAGGGACCCAAAAAACCTAAAGATGGTTATTAACTTAGCAAGAAGTTTCAATTCCCTTTTGATTGGTGGAAAATCATTAATTTTTCTTTTATTTTCTTTTCCTTTTTCTATTTCTTTTTCTTTTTATTGCTCAATATATCATTTTATGTATTTGAAGCATTAATTTTTGAACTTTTAACATTCGAATAGGTAATAATTCTTTATATATTCTTTTTTTATTCTTTGTTGCATTCATAGAAAAATATTCTTTTCTTTCTAATGTACAAGAAAGGCGCTTTATGATCTTTGTTGCATTGCTTGCGTTCTACATAAGTTTGATGTCTGTTTTATGTTTCTAGGTATATTATGCTTGGCTTTGCTGGTTTTGTCCCCTGCTATCATCTGGTTTATGAAGTATAAAGGCATAAATTGAGTTTCTTTATAATGTCCAGATGGATGATGAGATTCGTGTGCTGGCTCCGAAGTGAAAGATGCATCTAAGGAGGAACCTGCAGATCGTAATCATACAAAATCAATGTTTTCTGGTTTTGCTAAGAGAGATCAATCTCCTTCCAAGCCAGCAAATGGGGAAAAAAAATCTAACAGTGTGCCTCAAAAAGAAGGTCAAGGTAGAAATTACATGTCATTGCTCTTGAAAAACCTGTAATTGTCAAAGGAGTGTCCATCAATTACTAGATGTTGTGCTAGAGCCTTTGCCCGTGGTCAGATGGAGCAACCTAACTAATTCCTTTTTCAAAGTGCAAAGTGCAACAAAGGCAAATTTGCGTTTGTTGTAATTCAAACGCTACCAATTCTTCAATTTGAACTTTCTTATTTGTAGCATAATTGTTCTATATTATAGTTTCTTTCCTTTATTTTTCTATATTTTGTGGAATTAATATTTATTAATAATAATTAAATTATAATTATCTTATGATAAGATACAATGTTAAATTATTTGAATTATTAACTTGAAATAAAACTTAGACAGGATTAATGAATACTATAACACTATAATTTAATAATATATTAAATACAATTCATAACATACATTTTTTATATGTACTTACAAATTATAAACTATTAAAATAAATTACTAAATCAATCTGTGCAAGTGCCTACCTTTACTTAGAAAAAGCACCAAATATTTTTAAATTCTAATTAAAAGCTTAGTTTGATAAAGTAGAATTTCAAATTCGGATACACTATTGTCTCTTCTTTTTCTTCTCGAGCTAACATTAGCTCTTTTATATTTTTTTTCTTTTTATTTTTTATATTTTTATGCTTGATCAATTTTTCTTCTTCTTTTTGCAAATTTCATTTACTACATGTTTGGATTTCATATTTCGGTAATTTTGTAGGTCTTTATTCTTTAGCTACTACGTAACAACTATTATGGTAGGACTAAATTCTTGATTTCAATAATTTTTGTTTGTTTATGAATTAGATATTAAATTATATTTTTATTTGTATTTACCTTTCATGCTATGATTTTCATTTTTCTCTCATCTCCTAATAAATTTATTTGTGGGCTTTAAAAAAAGGATATTAAAAAAGATAATATATGTACACTAATTATAATTTATATATTATAAGGTACAAACTACAAAATATAATCTATAGTAACTATAAATGGTCTAATATAAAACTAAAAAAATTTAAAAAGTTAAATATAAATATGGACAATTAGTCTAAATATTTAATACTACTAAAGAATACCCAACATCATATGTACAAAAATCAAAAATAAAAAAAATCTAATTAAGTTATCAAATAATGAGATTTAATTAATATGAGAACAAAAGATTGACAAAAGAAAAAACAATGTAATGGAGGAAAAAAATAAGAATATATATTTTAAACAAATACTGGGTAAAAATAAAATTGTATATTATAGAAAATAATCATACAATAAAAATAATTTTTCAATAATTCAATAAATATGAAAATTAATTTAATCGGGACTCGCCAATTTCTTTCAGGCTGGTGCTACAGCAAGGTTAAAGCGACATCGTTTCAGGGGCCAAAACGTCCAAAACCTTTGCTTCAAAACGGAGAAACCCCCGTCAGCTCCATAGTAGCAGTGAGGGAAAGAGCGCGACAATGTCAGGCTTCTCTTTCGCATCGTCATCCTCTCAATCCTCCTCCTCCTCCTCCTCCTCACCCTTCTCATTTGGATCCTCCGCTCCCTCATTCGGACCCACAACCAGTGCTTCCTTATTCTCTTTCGGGTCCTCCTCTTTTGCTGCCGCTAACCCTAGCTCCGCATCCTCTTCTTCCTCCCCATTATCATTTTCCTTTAACACTTCGTCAAACTCTAACCCTAGCTCAGCTCCTACCGCCTCTTCATTTGGTTTTGGATTCTCCTCCTCCTCCTCCTCCTCTTCTTCTTCTTCCGGCCCTGCCTTATCCTTGTCTTTTGGTTCAGCTCCTGCTGCTACTACTACCACTCCGTCCCTCTTTGGTTCTGTGCCTATTTCCACCTCATCACCGTTTGGGCAAGCTGCTTCACCTGCAGGTTCTGGTTCAAACCTGTTTGGGGCAGTTTCAGCCGCGGCTAGTTCTGCTTCTTCCTTGTTTGGGACTGTTTCTTCTGCGGCAAGTTCTGGTTCACCTCTGCTTGGCACAGCGTCTGCCAGCACCGGCACGTCTGTATTTGGCGGGAGTACGTCATCATCATTGTTTGGAACAAGCATTTCACCACAATTCGGAACAACCTCATCAGCAGCCAGTTCTGTTTCGACCCAGTTTGGCACAACTTTGTCTATAACAAGTTCTCCTTCGCCCCCTTTTGGCACAACTTCTTCATCAGCGGCGAGTTCTGCCCCGTCATTGTTTGGAGCAACTTCGCCTGCAGTCAGTTCTGGGCCATCTCCATTTGGTATATCCTCATCCACTGCAAGTTCAGGTTCATTCTTGTTTGGGACGTCTTCATCCGGAACAGGAACAAGTTCTGGACCGTCCCTTTTTGGCTCATCTGGCGCTTCAAATACCACTGGTACATCTAACTTGTTTGCCTCTTCCGCAAATGCTTTATCATCTTCTTCAGCTTCAACAACTTCATTCTCATCTAATTTGTTCTCTGCAACTCCTTCAAATTCAAGCCCCGGTTTGTCTTTCTCCAGCACTCCACCAGGATTTTCCTTTCCAAAAAGCACTCCAAGTGTAACATCAACTACCACTGTGTCTTCATCAGCCGCTCCTTCTCTGACGCAATCTTCAGCAGCTAGCGTTTCAAGCTTCTCTTTTGGGACACCATCTTCTGCATCTTCGGCGAGTGCTTCTGGCTTCTCGTTTTTGACACCGTCTTCTGCATCGTCCCAATCTTCCTTCAGCTTTAGCAATGCAGCGTATTCATCTGCTCCAGCAACTTCCACCACTGTTGCTGCAAAACCAACATCTCCTTCGCCATTGTTTTCTACAGTCACAACCACAAATTCTTTGACTCCAGCTGCTGGTAGTACAGTGGCTTCTTCTTCTGCTACCACTTCAACGCTTTCTTTGCCTGCATTTACTGCATTTAGTGTGAGTTCGTCTTCTTCTGCAACTACAGCTAGCACAGCTGCTTCTTCTGGAACTACTAATTCCTTCACGGGTATTGGAACAGCCAATACAACTGCCTCATCAGCGAATGCTGCTTTTACTGGATTTCCCTTGTCAAACAAAACATCAGTGCCTGCCTCAACGTCACAAGCTCAATCGACTGCTGCTGCACCCTTATTCAGTGAGTATCTTAATCTTTGTCCTGCTTGAGATCTTCTATTTTTGTTCCATGAGCATTGTATTTTATATGCCTGTGAGTGCCTTTTTTTCCGTTATTTTTTTCCTTATGCATTCCTGTTAGATTAACTATTTCTACTAAACTACTAGAAGAAGCATATGTGGTCCAGTCAATTTTGGACATAAAATGCTTGATTTCTGTGACTTTGAAAGCTATTATAGACTTAATTATTTTTATTTTGTTTGGAACAACTACTGGGTAGAGGTGAAGGAAAATCCCTGTTCAATTTGCTAGTTGGATTGAGATGAAGTTTCCTCTTATTTGATGCATTTTAAGATGCCCTCTTTCCTCAGCTGAAGGATGTGTGGGTTATTCTGCTATCCTAGTAGTGGGTCTTAGGCATTGGTGAGGATGGGGAGGAAAATGACAGTGGGCCGGCAGAAGATGATATAGCAAAGAAGTCAATATTCCTAGGTGTTGTGCATGGGGATAGGGAGGTGAGAGATCAAGATGATGGGAGTGAGGGTAAGGAGATTAAAGTGACTTGTTTGCAGGAAAATGGAGCATCTATAGAATTGTTTTTATATGTTCTGTTCCTATGAACGAGGTGCCTGTTCCAGAAATAGTCTATTCTGCTGCTTTTTTGCCAATTGCATCACTATGTTTATGACCAGTATAGACATTGCTAGTGTGGATAGTGTTGGGGAAATAATACTCCAAAAGGAGGTTGAAGATGTTAGCTTTATTTTGGATGGCACTTGCCTATGAAATAAGGAGTTGTTAGTGATGTTGGGACTCAGATTTATCTTCTGTTCATGAATATGTGGATAAATATGTTAATTCTCCTCAGAAGCACACAATATAACCTTTATAATGATAAAGTATGGTACGATTACTAGTGGAAGCATTTTGACAACTGTGGTTGGTAAGCTGGCAATCCTAGAATTAGTAGCTGATGTTGTGAATCGAATCTGCAGAAATATCATGGAGACACATTAGTCACATGAATTACATCTAATAGAGGCACAAACAGCAGATGCTATTGCTGTTGGTTTAATGTGGAATGGTTGTAGTGAAGAGTTGATGAAATTGCAGCAGCTTCCTATTATGATGCCCTTAATGGTTCGATCAAATGAGACAACAAGTAGATCCTTTAAAGAAACATCTGATGGAGATGGAGCAGAAACATGTGGCTTTATCAAGTGAAATTGATATAACGAGAGGTAGCATGGAAGGAAAGGGTATTGGTTGCTCTTGTCTAGGCGAAGGTCTATTTTGTTGAGATGGATGAGCATTATATATTTCTCCAGTTTCATCATTGTCTTCTTCCCCTCTGCTTTTTCTCTCATTTCACATGAGCTAATTGGTAGCACCTCCATTGCATCTTTTCTAAGTTAAACAATTCATGGTATCAGCTTTTGAGTTATTCTTTTTGTGGCCGTCATATTTTCATCTTTATCTGTCTTCTCAAAGTGTGTCTAAATATTTGAGTTTTATGTATTTTTTTTTTTTTTTTCATTGCTTCTGTCTGGATCTCAAGGATTCTTAGATAAGTTCAGGATTTAAGTTCTCACACGAGCCATTCTGCAGGTATTCCTACTTCTACTTCTGCAGCAGCAACAGCAACTAGTTCAAGTACTACAACAGCTCAGACGACACTGTCTCTTGCTGTGGCTTCCAGTAGTGGGTCTGTATTTCCTTTCCTGATAGCCTAATTTTTTGCCAGTGTCTAACCATCCTTTGTTATTATTAAAAATTGAAACTTTGCCACTTTTGCCTGTGAGATCTTCTGTAGATGCATGCTTTTTATATCAGATCTTGTTACAATTTTGCATCTGTTTCCAGTATATCTTGCATTTAGGCCCATTATGCGTTTTTGCTTAGTCGAAATATTACTAGTGGCATTAAATTGACATGAAGTTTTTATGGCGGTGGATAATATTTTGGCATTTACGCTCATGTGCTGGTTCTCTAATAGGACAAGTTCAAGTGTTAGTGCTGCTGTATCTGCTACACCGAAGTTACCATCTGAGATTACAGGGAAGACTGTTGAGGAGGTATTTCATAGATACATAATTTCTCTTTTGACCCCTCACTCATTATTTTTGTGTTATCTTACTTTTTAATCATACTACAATCTTTATTTACCGTATATCGAACTAACCATAGTCATGCAGATGATTGTTATCCCTCATAGAAGATACAACTGTATGTATGTAAATCTATGTGCGTGTTTATGGGAAAGAGAGTTGCAAAATAATCAATTCAATTGATTACAGGATCATTGACTTGTCCGCTAAAACTGTGTGGCAGTCGCCAGCCAGTTTGCTAAATGTCCGCTATTGTTTAATCATCACCTTATCTTATTTATGTGATTTGGCCTATACATTTTCTGCCTTTTGATTTCTGTCCCTCTATTCATTCTTTTTGAATATATATGTATTTCTTCTGTTTGAAGATAATCAAAGACTGGAATGCTGAGCTACAAGAGCGTACTGGGAAATTTCGGAAACAAGCTGCTGCAATAGCTGAATGGGATAAGAGGATCTTGCAAAATCGTGATGTTCTTCTTAGGCTTGAGGTAGTTATATTTCTTATTGTTTAGCAGAAGATATCATATTATGAATGAGATGACATAGTTTTCGTTGCATCATTTGTCTTGTAGATATATTATTGATATAATTGCTGTGTAATGACATGGCTTGTATATATTAAGGCATCAATTCTTTATGCTCTGTTGTTGTGAGAAGAAAATGACTACTACCATCATGAATGTGTTGAACTAATTTTTCCATTTTTTCCATTTCATCACTTTGAATATGATAATCAAATTTTTTGCTTTGCCTGTGACAGCATTTTAGTTTACAGGTTATGGTCTAAAATTATGTTATTGCATTTTGTAGTTATCTTTTTGTTTTATTACCTAATACATAAATTATTCTTTTAGATTGAAGTGGCAAAAGTGGTTGAGACACAAGCTAGTTTGGAACGACAGTTGGAATTAATTGAGACCCATCAACAGGAGGTACTTCTGCGAGTTCTTTAGCATACATGTTTTCATTCATAAAGTTCTCTTGATTTTATGATTGGTTGTTTTTGAAGAGAAAAAAACCTTAATTATTGGTTAGTTGGCCAATAGCTCAACAGGTAATTGTGCTATTATCCTGAAAAAGTCTTGCTCTCGTGTCCATGAATGAGATGGGCAGAATGTGCGCAAGATGCTAATGCATTGGTTTCCCTACAGCCATCCTCTGAATGGTATCCTTTTGCATGGTCAATGCTAAATGTAAATATCCAGTTCTTGACCATCATTTTAGATTATTGGCATGAGAAGGGGCAGTGCTAAGACATAAATCTGTCCCTCCTGTCATGATGACATTTAATTCCTTTCCTTGAAGTAAACCTTTTAGAAGAGATCCAGAATTGAGCTTTAAGTACCTCAAAAGACGAGGCAAAAATTAACACTTGTAACTGCGAAATAAAAGCTGAATATTTCTTCTGTATGGACATCAAGTTTTATTATAATATTATCCTTGTCTTTGATCCTTATGTGATTCCCACATTTTCAATTATTTAACCTCCTCAAAAATGCATCTGAATAAAGCATGCCAATCATTCATGATCTTTGTGAAGGATATGTTTAATTAATTTTGTTAATGTTGCTAGGTTGATAAGGCATTGCAGAGCATGGAAGAAGAAGCTGAGCGCATTTATAAGGACGAGCGTGGGTTACTTCTTGATGATGAAGCTGCATCAACACGAGATGCAATGTAAGAACTTGGTCTTTCTTATTTCTGTTGGCCCCCAACTTGCTACAAAGGTGAAAGTTGCAGCTGCAGTCTTAATCGTCTGCTCTGGTGCTTGATTTAATCTGGGTCCAAGTAGTATTGATTAAATTAGTTGAAAAGAGACTGTCATAAGAAATTTTGGTTGTCTGGGAAACTGAACTTTCTGAATTCTGATTTTTCTGACAGAATTTTTTTTTTCTTTTTTTGGAAAGTTACTTAACAGGCATGTTGTGAGAAGTAGGGCTTGCATAACAAGTTTTTCCTTGTTCCTTGCCCTTTCTATTTTTGAACTCCTTTTTGTTTCCCCCTTTTACCTTTTCTTCATTTCAGGTACGAACAGGCTGAGCTTATAGAGAGGGATTTAGAGCATATGACGGAGCAGGTCAAATCTGTTATTGACACCCTGAATTCCAGCCAGGTTAACCTCTAGTTCCTTGATTTTACTCCCCAGATAGGTTTTACAATAAATTATGATAGATATTGCTTACAATGTCTTTTCTTTTCTTTCTTTTTTTTTTTAAAAAAATTTATTTAGGGTGGTGAACTAGATACGATTGATAGGATGACTCCATTGGATGTGGTTGTCCGAATACTAAACAATCAGCTAAGTTCTTTGATGTGGATTGATGAGAAGGTCAGTGAATTTTTTTTCCATCATTTGATTTTACTTTTGTGATATTTTGGTGACTATTTATTTTTGGGTAGGTTTGTGTTATATGTATATGTATATTTATACTTTACTTATTAATGCAAGATCACTGACCTCTTAATAGGCTGAAGAATTCTCTTCGCGTATCCAGAAGCTTGCTACCCAAGGTTCTGCAGCAGAGGATCTGTTGGGTCCAAAATTTTGGATGTGATCCTCCATAAGTTTGCTTTTTTCTTCATATTTCTTTTTGTTCTCTTTAATCATGTACAATGAGAATGCCCATTTTGACATTTTCGGCGTCAATTGTGATGCTCATTTATAGATTTTCTTTACTTTCATGTTCAGATATTTTCAAACAAAGTAAAATTATATTATTTTTATTTCCTCATTTTTATTTTCCTTCCATCTAAACACAAGTGGAAAAATAACAACGGAAAAATAATAAGCTCTTGCATTAATTGAAAGAAAATGGTAAGAGAGAATCTCATGAAAAATAGAGAGAAATATATATAAATTGAGATTTTAATATATATAATTTGTTAATTAGATTATGAAAATATTATATGATTAAAATTTGAAACTCTTAATTATTATCATCATCATAAATTAAAAAGTGAATAATAAATAAGAATTTGTAAAAAAAAGATAAATAGAAATGCGAGGAAACCATACTGTTAACTCAACTTTTTAAAAGTTTTTTTTTTTTTTCTTTAGGATTATATACTCTTAATATTTCATCATCATAATTAAAAGTGAATAATAATAAGAATTGTAAAAAAAGAAATAAATAGAAATGCGAGGAAACCATACTGTTAACTCAACTTTTTAAAAGTTTTTTTTTTTTTTCTTTAGGATTTATATATATATTATATATATATATATATATTTAATATATATATATATATATAGATTAATATATATATCAAAAACATGGTTTGGTCCGAATTCAACAATTATAATATCTTAGTTGCCCGAAATGCGGTATGATTGGAACTGGGTATAGTCAAGTGTATATTAATTTGCGATTTTTTTTTTTTAACACAAATTTCCCTTCCAGCTAATGAGATTAGAAATGATTCGTTGACTTGGAATACTTTAATTAAACTTTGGAAGTATATAGAAGCAAGCATAACTGCAGGAGATGTCACCTTGAAACAACAAAGAAGTTAAAAATAAATAAATAAAACACCCACCATGAAAACTTGCTCAGTCTTCATCTTTCAACTTGTGTATATCACCTTCCATCTGAAGTTATCTGTTTTTGCAGCTTACCCTCCATGCTTACCCTCCATATGAGCCCTTAGAAAATATTGCACTGGATTGTGGTTCCTTTGATTTTCAAACTCTGTCCTTTGATGGCCGGAACTGGACTTCTGATGGAACTTTCATCTCGCAAAGCAACTCTACTGCAGCCTCAATAGTTTCTTCCATTGACCCAGGAGTCCCTCAAGTTCCTTACAAGACTGCTAGGCTCTTCTTTTCTGAATTTACCTACACCTTCAATTTAACACCAGGTCCCAAGTTTCTCCGTCTTCACTTCTATCCAACCTCTTATCCTGGTTTTGATGCTTCCAAAGCATTCCTTTCAGTTACGGAAGGTAACCATACTCTTCTGAGCAATTTCAGCGCCTCTCTTGCTGCAAATTACAAGGATGTTTATGCTTTTTCGAAGGAATTCATAGTCCATGTGAAAAACCATTCGCTTCGACTAACATTTAGTCCTTCTTCAAATGCTTCTGATGCATTTGCCTTTGTGAACGGGATTGAAGTCGTTTCAATGCCTCGCAATCTCTATGTACGGGGCGAAAATGTTCCTCTTCCTTTTGTCGGATATCTTTATAATCCTATCAGACTAGATAACACATATGCACTTGAAACAGTTTACAGAATCAACGTAGGAGGCGAAGACATTTCTCCCAAATCAGATTCAGGGATGTTCCGCACTTGGAAAAGAGATGATCAATACATATTTGGAGCCAATTTTGGGCACTTAGCATCCGATTACGATCTTCAGGTCAAGTACACACCAACAGTACCAGCACACACTGCACCTGATTTAGTATACGGCACTGCTCGTTTCATGGGTTTTGATCCTAGAATCAATTTACATTTTAACTTAAGTTGGTTTTTTCCTGTTGAGACCGGATTTTTATATCTTGTCAGGCTCCATTTCTGTGAGCTTGATAGGAGTATAACAAAAATAAACCAGAAGGTATTTTCTATATATATGAACGAAGAAACGGCTCAGGGTCAAGCAGATGTCATTACGTGGAGCGGTGGGCAAGGTGTTCCAGTCTACAAAGACTATGTCGTAATGATCCCAGTGGGAAAAGAAGGGATTCAGAATCTTTCGCTTGACCTGCGCCCTAACACAGAAACCAAGCCTCAATATTATGATTCTTTCTTAAATGGAATAGAGGTATTCAAATTAAACAATTATGGTGGAAATCTTGCTGGACTTAATCCTCCTCAAATGCAGAATCACGAGGGATCTTCCGTATCGTCATCAACCAGTTCAGAGAAAAGACTAGTCAGAATTATTGGAGCTGTCATGGCATTTATTATAGTGTGCTTTCTTGCTTTCTGGATCAGATTAGCCAAGCAAACAAAAAAGAAAACGAACAAGTATGTATTGATTTTGTAATTTAAATAATTCAATTATTCTAATTTAAATAAGAAGTCATACCTTCAACTTTGTTCAGTTTAGTTCTTGTCTGAGCTTTTAGTATTAAAAAAAAAAGTTCTTGTCTGCGCAGCTTTTAGTATTAAAAAAAAAGAAAAAAAAAAAAGTGTGCTTCATCGGCGGCCACCATTTATGACAAGCTGTCATGTCTTCCGTCTACTTTCAGCAATTACATTGGAGATGTTTAAAAATAGGACAGAGTAATTCTAAAGCTTCCATCCACTATCCTTAATTTATGTTTAATCCATTCCCATCTTTCACAAAGTCATAAAATTTAATTTATCATATTAATTTTCTTATGTTGATTATTATTTATTAAGTCCGTCAGACGTTTGGCGGTGAGAGGATTTAATTATTTATTACTATTTTCCTATTCAACACCTAAATTAAATTTTCCCTTTATTTCTTAGATTTTTTTTTTGGAGAAATCATTTCTACCTCTTTTGATGGTTTATTAATTAAAACTTTTTGTATGACCATTTTTAAACAATGGCCTATAAACCTGAAATCAATTTAGCCAAGTTTAGTCTGAGGTTGATGTTATCCCACCCATTTAATCAAAACTAATAAAAATAAAAATATTATTAAAATAAAGTATTTCTGATTATACATAAATAAAATAAAAAGTTTTTATTTTACTTTTAACTTGATTTTATAGAATAAAGCCTGTTAAATGCTGCGTCTAAATAAGTATTTTCTGTGAGTGAAAAACTATATACATTATGTTTGATATATGCATATGCACGACTACTAAGTTGCGTATTTAATTTTTGCTGCATTAGGCTAAGTGGACTAGCTTGCTCTTGAACAATGAATATAACAGTAAAGACAGTGTTAAAAAATAAGAAGAGAAAATTATATTTTATATAGGAAGAGCGGTTTTGGCTCATTGGTTGATACTAGGATTAATTACATTAAAATGACACTTTTATTATATTTTAGTATGTCAATGTTCAACCTTGATCCTTATTTAAAATTGGTAAATTTTGACAAGGAGAGAGAGAGAGATTTAAAATTTTGAATTTAAAATATTTTCTCTTTCATCATCTAATAATTTCCAAAACAAAAGCATTGACCGAATATATATTATCAATGCACATGCTTCGACATGTATTTTGTTTTACCTTATCAGTTAATATAATTATTTCTTCCAAGGTTTTAGTTGATATTACGAAGACTATAAAATAATTCATATTTGTCATATTTAATTCCTTTTTAACTTGATTTTTTTGCTACACTGTATATTGGAATCAAATGATTAAGGACATTCAAATTTAAATTAAATTCAAGTACAATTAAAATTAAGTCCATATATATAAATATTTATATATATTATATTATTAGTATAATCTTGAAGCAAAAAAAAAAAGTCAAAAAATCTGACATAGCACTCTCCTATTTCAGTATTCATTTTTTCCTTTTAATAAAAAAAAATTTTCTTTACTTTTAATACTGTTTATCATTATTTTGTTCTTTTTCCAAAAAATTGTTAACTTTTTATTCACCATTGCATTTACATAATTTATTATAGATAATTATTATTTTAAAAATAATTTTCAATCCCATAATCAATTCTGTATTTTAATAACCTTTGTAAAATTTTAAAATTATTAAAACTTATCTTTTTTTCCTTTCTTCTCTCTTTCTCTCTTATTATTCTCTCTTTCCTGATTACGAAGAATTAAGTTCAATCTTTCAAGTGAAATCTCTCAACAAGGAACATGAACAAGGTTTTTTTTTTTTTCTCTTTTGTTTCTATCATATTTTTCGTCATCGTTTGATATTTTATACGGTTTTAACTAATATTGAACACAATGAGTTTTCTTATATATATATATTTATAGTATATATATATAATGATTAGTTCTTTGTCTAACAAAAAATTAATCTATCATTTCTATTCTTCTCATTTACAGTATTCAATATCAAAAATCTGATATTTTTGATTATTTAAAATTATGCAGAGTTTTTGAAAAATAAAAATTACAAGTTTGTTTCAATAGTGTAAATTTGTATCCTCTCCAATTAAATTTAAAAAGATATTCATATTAAAGTATTATTGGGAATCGCATCAGATTTGATCCGGTCAAACCCACGTTAAAACCTAAACCTAAAACCAAAACAATTGGAATTGTTCGTGATTCATTAGCAACTTGTGTGTATCTGATTTTATAAAAAAAAAAAAAAAAAAAAAAAAAAAAAAAATTTTTTTTTTCGAAAAATTCAAGTTTGAACTGTTGATAAAACTGCATATTTTTCTTGATAAACCCAAGATTTCTTCATATAAAAAACTGGATTATTTGGTAAAAATTTAATTTTTTGTAGAAAAAACTTTGTAGTTGAAATTATTTTGTTGTCTATTTATATAATACACACACATATTAAAATATTAAAAAATAAAAATTAGAATCTATTGAATCTTTGTCAAAATCTGATCCAACCTTAATCCTGTCACTGATTACCGATTAGTTTAGCCAATTCTTAAACTTTTAAAGTACTTAAGGTGTGTTTATTCAGCCTTATAGAATTCATTTTAGACTTCAAATTTTTTATTATGTACATAAATTATTTGATTAGCTTGAATCAAAATTAAATATAAAACCAATAAAATATGATGATGTCAAAAACACGATTCTTTTTAGTTCATAATTTTATGTTGTTCATCATTTCTAAACAACATATATAATTAATTATGCTGATAAAGTGAATAAAATAATTAATTTCATTGCAGGACATTATTTAATGCATACATTTCCCTCTAAAATTAATTTCTTTTTCCCTTCCATATTTATCGCTCCTTTAAATCACTTTTGTATATATATATTAATTTGAAGTCTCATGATTGTGATGTGTATGACCATAAACTAAATTGTTTATATTCTTTATACTATACACATTGTCGTGCCGCGAGTTAGAATTAATTATACGTAATTACCAAAACTTTGACTCTTTTCTTACTCACAAAATTTCATTTTTATCTCCCAACTGCGCATCATTATCTCAGAAAATTCAACTCCTAGAGTCAAATCGACTGTTACCGAAAATCACTTTCCTATCCTCTACTTTGCCATGAATTTGCCAATATCTAGTGCCGACTCTAAGCTCCAAAGCACCTGGTTACGTATGGTCCGCATCCAGCCTGCTCCGCCAAGCATTTCTGGTAATCTCATAAACTTTAGCAAGAGATGCTGGTGATAATGCTTACCTTTCCAAATGAGATCCAATGAGATTTCCAATCTCCCTTCAAACAATTTAAGGTGCCCATCAACAAAACTTACAGCATCTTCATTTCTCCTCATTGTCATTACAATTATAATTCACCACAAACTTCGGCAGGAAAAGCTTACCTCCAAAAGAAACTACCCATAAAGAGTATACATCAGCATTTATCTTTGTCAATTTTAAGTGAAGAACTGACAGTATTTTCCGGTCTATATAACCCTAATACTACCCATAACTTTGGTGCCTTCCATTAGTTTAGGATCTATTTTAGACCAAACCAAAAATCTGGCTAAATCTTGGCCACCCAATTCTCATCCAACAGGATATGCTTGGTTCTTGACATCGCGACTGGACTATTCTGAAAACTTTCATTCCTTATGGCATGTAGGCATAAGCCCTGTGCGGCTCAATCATATATGGTAGCCGTTGGTTCCAAAGAAAAAGGCAATTCTTTTGTCCTGTCATTTAAGAAATAATATGAAGGGGCTCGAAACAGAGTACCCTTTAGGCATTATTACTTTCAGAAGAACCATAGATCATTCTCCTGGTTTTATTCACTTGCAATACCCATCAAAGAAACAACATTTTGATGACGGATTAGAGAAGAGTGTTTTGATCTCAGATTGAAAATGGCATATGACCTTTGCCTTATTGCTTACGGCTTAATCGCAACTGTAGTGTTTCGGCCATCAATATAACCTTTATTTAAACCACACCAAATCCTGCTGGTACCAATCAAATCTCTTCCCTCGTTCAAAAGTTATTCGTGAGGCTGCTTGATCTCCTTTCATTGTAAAAAATAGCGAAACGGTGATCTTGTTCTTCTTCTTTGCTCTTTCTGTTTGCTACTCTGACTCAGAAAAGGCAAGGGAAGAAGCACACTATAATTAAATTGCCAATGACCAACCCACCAAAGCTGAGCCTCCCAATCAATTTTTTACTAGTCTTTTCTTTGAAACTTATTGTTGATGATAATATAGAAGATGAATTAACTTAGCGAATCCTCATGGATATGTAGGTACAGCAAAGATTTCCCGCCAATAATAGCTTTAATCTGGAATAATCCTTCCTACTCCCATTAAGATAAGAATCATAAGGATTTCAGGTGGCCTGGTTTTCTGTGCTAGGTGCAGTTCAAGCCAAAGATCCTCGGAATCCCATTTTTTTTTCCCTGTGCGGATCATTACGGACATTAGTCATTTGTAGGACAGGGAACACCTTGCCCACCCGCTCCACGGGGCAATCACATTCTTGCTTGACTCTCAAACCGTTTCATTGTTTCATATATAGTAGAAAATACCTTCTGTTATTTTTGTTATTTAACGTTCCAAAAACAAGCTCACAGAAAAAAAATGGAAGCCTCACAAGATACAAGAATCCCAGGTTTCTTCAAACAGGAAAAAAACAAACTTTTAAGCTAAAAAAATTTAAATTGATTCTTATTTATTCAGGAATCGCATTTGGGAAAAAAAACAAGCAGTTGCGTATACTAGAAGTCAGGTGCAAAAGTGTACTGCTGGGTACCATTGGTTTGTGTTACTTGGACCTTGAAGATCGGAAGCCGGAATGCTTTACTTGCCCCAGCAAGGCAGCTTCCCAAAACAAGTAATTGATCGTCTTTTTACCAAAGTTGCGAAAAAACATTTCCCTTGGTATTTCTGATTTAAGGGAGAAATTGGTTCATTCGCCAACCCTACAGTTTTATTTCTGTTTAAAAAAACCTGTGTTTTTTTTCAAGTTGGGGCATTTATGTGGTATTTTCTTTTAGGTCTGATTAGGAAAAAATTTATTTTTTAGGGATTAAACCCCCCAAAAAAAACAAAAAAAAAAAAAAAAAAAAAAAAAAAAAAGGGGGGGAAAAAAAGGCGGGAGGGGGGGGAACCATTTTTTTTCCCACCCCCGTATGTAGAGATTCAGAGGCCAACTAATCTCTCTT